AGGAAATCATTCTAAAATGTCATATATCCTAACTGAATACAAGACTGATATTTAATTAAGCCTTTATGACCAAGAGTGATTATAATTGTCATCGATTATTATTTAGAGACACTCAAGCACTGGGCATTCTTGGTTTCCATGTTATATGGCTCCCAGATGCTCTATTTTTGTCTTTATATCAGTTTTTGTATTTCCTTTTTGCTCTTGGTTACACTAATACAAGCAAGAAGCATCAAAGATATGTGGCAAGCTCTAATCTCTTTTGAATGTCTGCCCCTCTGTTCCTCTGGGAAGTGATAGATGCTCAACAGGGAAAGAAGGAAAGGGGTGAATGGAGGGAGGGAGAGAGGGAGGAAGTTATTAGCTGAGAAACTAGATTTACTAAACCAATTATTAAAATTACTTCTAAATTAAATGTAAGTAAATTCCTGAAGAATTGTATTACCCCAACATGGATCCTGTTGCTCTGGGTAGCTTGGAAATGATTTTGCTTACTTCTCATTCCCGAGGTGAGTTTCTGTGGAAAGATTCTGTGTACGTCTGTAGATGTACACATGTAACTTGATTGAATTCACCTCGTAACCATCTCTTAAACACATTTACCTCTTACTTTCGTTAGCTCACATATAAAGAAAGCTTTGAAACAATAATCAGTTGTCAATATACGGTTAAATTATATTTGTAAGGGACTACTTTCAGACTCTAGTAATAAGTGCACTCATTTAAGAATATGATAGTAAAGAGCTAAGTTGTAATTAGCACTGGAATAAATCAGATGGTAACTCAGAGTATCTTTCCTAGATGATTTTGGCAATAGATCTTTGGTTGACAGGGAAGAAAGCTGACTGATAATGGTATCGGTTTTGGGGATCTGCCTCCAGTCATCCTTTCACTGACACCAGAGTGATCCCCTCTCCATGACCATCCTGACCTCCAACTGCCTGCTCCTTTAGCTATCTACAGGAGAGCAGCCACCTATGGTTCTAGCGTTCCCTCAAACCCTGCGTCTTTTAAGAAACTTTTTTCCCAGGAGGTTTTGGGCACTCTCTTCCTCTTTGCTCCCACGGTACACCATTTTAGCAAACACATTGTAATGTTATTGTGAATTTGCGTGTCAGTTTCTTCTCTGAATTATGTGCTTCATTTTCGCATACCTCATACATGGTGAAGTGATGTGGACCCAGTAACCATTTAGCAACAGGTTTTGAAGGACTGAATACGGGGAGATTTTGTTATCATAAATCTCCAGATGAACTTCTGAAACAAATCAATATCACACCTTCCAATGGGTACCTATTTTTCCTACTAGAGCATACCTCCTATGGGATTTGCTGTATATCATTGAGCTCAATTAATTTTGAAATAAGTAATTAGAAAGCAGTTACTATAATATGACGAAAGAGCTAGCCCTGTATTTATAAATACTCTTATCATAACCTAGAGAAATTGCTTAACTCATTTTAATTGGACCAGTTTTTCCACGCTAGCAAAGCAATAGAGAATTGCCTGTGTGTGTAACTAATGGATAATGGATGAGGAGCTGTGATGTCGATGCCTTTACTGTGTGTGAATGTATTTTTATAGCTATGACTATATGAAGTGTTGAAGTGAGTATAAAGAATATAGATTAATCTATTGGAAGCTATTGCAATTACTTTGGCAAAATATATTGCACCAGTATATTGCAACAAAACAATGTTCTAGCCATAAACATAACTTTAAATTTTGTAAATGTAAGGGAGAAGCAGGGCAAGCAAAGCCTCAACTGGATTACTGATGCTAATTAAGAATGCGTATGCACATCCAGTCTTCTGTGATAAGTCTTCAAGGAGGATGATTTTAAGAACATGAGAACATGTGAAAAAAAATCATGTGCATGACTAGTGCCAGCTCAACCCAAACACGGGAGAACCTTCTGTGTGTGCAGAATAGCACCATGTCATAGAACAACTACTACATAGAACAACTATTTTTTGTTTGTGGTAATAGCAGTGGCTCGCTAGATGTGTCGTTACTTGAGAAGTGTCCTCCCAGCAACCCAGAAGATGCAACCATCCTTGTTTATCTTTTTGTCCTTAGTGCTAGCACCCAAGGGGTTCTTTCCAAGAGTTGGCAGCCCGTTAGGGCAGTCACAGAGGGCTGGACATGCAGTAATGACCATCATTTCAAGCTGTGTCACATCATTTAAAGCTGAAAGTATCTTCCGTTGGAATTAAGCTTATTTCCGATTCTCATACCAAAAGAAATCGGAGGGAGGGTCAGAGGACTAGAAATCTAAGCCCAGTTTTACTCCTAACTCAGACGTTCCCCCTCAGGTGAGTCACTTAACCCAGCTGGTCCTCTCTTTTTCAGCCTGTTAAGTGAGAGGAAATGTGAGGGTGGACCTAACGTAGTCTAAGGTCTTTCGCAGCCACATAATTCTTTTATTTATAACTTATTGTGGGAAAATGGGAAAAGCTGGGTGTTAGAACACCTGGGTCCTGGTTCTAGCTCTGATGTAATTAGCTTTGTGACACTGGCCTTCTTAGCGTGTTGGGAGGACTCAGGGGCTGAGGAGCTAAACTAGGTGAGCTCCAAGGTCCTTTCCAGATCTGAGAATGAAGAACCCAGTCACCAAGCCGCCTGTGACATCATTGTTGAACCTGAAGCCTTCACTCCTGATCTGAAATGATATCGGGCACCATCAGCCTTTCCTTGGCACAAAAAACAGTGATTTTTCTCAGAGGTCATCAAAGCAGAAATAGAAGTCCACCATCAAGTTTCATTCATCGTTTTAAAATGCCTAATTAAAAACTATACAAACTAAAGTTTCAAAGGCTTCTGGCTATTAATTCTGGCAATTGATTAGCTCATAGTATATCATGATTAGCTCACGGTAAATGGTTATCTCTGGGTGCTATGAAGATTTGGTTGGCAGTTAAATATGTCTAAGGAAAATAGGAAACAGATAGCCAATAATTATAATCTGGTAGACTGAATTTTCCAAAATATGATTCCTTGAAGGAAACAATTCACAGGGTCTTTAGCAGTGAAAAGGTGATAGTCACTAGGCTGGATCGTTGTCGAATAGCCCTCGTATAGCAAAGTTAAATGAATCCAGAGTTTGTCGAGGTGCCAGATGATGAGTTTCTTATTCCAAATAATTAAACATTTATCAAACCTCTTTTGCAGGCCCTGCTCTGCTTGGT